GTCAATAATAATAATTTCAGTTAAATTTATTTTATAAATAAAGAAGATAGTTTGAACTAGTTACATATTTGACTTTAAATTTTTTCTAAAATAAAAATTTGTATGTGTGCCTTTGTGTAGTGTATATGTAAGTACATATGTGTGCCTATGGAGGCCTAATGACAATGTCTGGATGTCACATGTCTTCATTTCTGTTCATGTGCGTAAAAAAAAGATATCACTTATATAAATTATTTTTTAAGATTTATTTTTATGCACATGAATGTTTTTGCCTGCATTATGTATATGCACCATGTGCTTGTCTGGTGACTATGAAGGCCAAGGAAGGAGCATTGAATCCCCACAAATTGTGGAGTCACATGTGGTTGTGAGCTGGGATATGTGTGCTGAGAACTGAACCTAGGTCTTAGGCAAGATCAGCATTTGTTCTTAACCAGTAACCCTTATCTCCAGACTCTAATTCTAATCCAGTATTTTAGAATTCATTTTATTCCTGTTTTCAGGATTTAAATTCTCTTTTCTAACAGTGATAAACTTAGCTCAGTTTATTTATTAGATTAATCTTCCTGTATATAACCCAATTTCTCATTACTAATTCAGATTTATGGCAAATGTTAAACTGTCCAAATTAACTCTACCTTTGGTTCATTTGATTTCTCTATATTTTTTTTTTTTGGCTCAATGTCCTTTATTTGTGGCTAGAAACCAATTATGAGTGAGTACATCCTATGTTCATCTTTTTGGGTCTGGGTTACCTCACTCAGGATAGTGTTTTCGATTTCCATCCATTTGCATGCAAAATTCAAATGTCATTGTTTTTTACCGCTGAGTAGTACTCTAATATGTATATATTCCACACTTTCTTCATCCATTCTTCCATTGAAGGGCATCTAGGTTGTTTCCAGGTTCTGGCTATTACAAATAATGCTGCTATGAACATAGTTGATCATATTCTTTTGTTTTATGATATGGCTTCTCTTGGGTATATTCCCAAGAGTGGTATTGCTGGGTCCTAGGGTAGGTTGATCCCGAATTTCCTGAGAAACCGCCACACTGATTTCCAAAGAGGTTGCACAAGTTTGCATTCCCACCAGCAATGGATGAGTGTACCCCTTACTCCACAACCTCTCCATTTAAAAAAATGTTAGTTTCATGTTGGTGGAAGCTCTTTATTATTGATGGTTTCCCTAGAACATGATCAGTTGGGCATCAATGATTTAGACAGTAAGAACACAACATAACCTTAATTCACTCACACAGACAAAGGTTATATTGCTTTTAATTTCTTTTCTGATGAAAAGACTAGCCTAAAGCTTTGCTCATAAGTATAAAGTTACTTTAAGTCATGCTAGACATAATCTTTTTTTGTTTTGGATCATGAAAATTTTCTCTCCTTTTTGGAATAAAAGGGTACACATATTAGGCATCATATTAGTTTCTTTTCCATTTCTGTGATTACAGTACCCTGACTAAAGCAACTTAATTGACTTACAGTTCTAGGGATGGAATTGGGGAGACAATTCATCCATGGCAAAGCAGGCATGATGGTGGGAGCTTGAGGTTGCCCAACAGTCAGGAAGCAGAGTAAAGGACAAGATGTAGGGCTTAACTATAAACTCTCAAAGCTCCCCCAGATGTCACCCTGTGACACATGTCTAACAAAACTCCACCCTCCAAATGTTTCATAGCCTTTCCAAATAGTGCCACCATCTGGAGACAAAGTGTTCAAACATAATCTTACGGGGTACTTTTTACATTTGAATTCCAACAGTACCACACCTCCTTTTAATCCTTTCTAGACAATTCTACTACTGACTGGGGATCAAGCATTCAAACATATAAACCCATTATCTTTCAAACCAGCACATACATAATTTTGAAATGTATAATTTGAATGTTGCCATTTTTAGCTCTGTGTTATGCTACCATATAATATTCCCTGTCCTTTCCATAAACCCTGTTCCTCCATCTCATATCTCCAGTTGTTAATTATTGAGATATTTATTGACCTCTTCTCTGAAGTTATCTATAGGCCACTAATCAAGTCCTAATCAAGGTATTGAAAGGAGCTTTTATTGAATTCCTGCTCATCTTACAGATTTTTTTCCTAAGGTGTCTTTTGTTTGTTTGTTTGTTTTGGTTTAATTTGAAATAAACTTAGAAGTTCTTAGTTGATATATCAGAGGACCAAATAATGTGTACATTTGGTTCTGTGGTAGAAGTTATCTGACCTTTTCTTTTGGATATAAATGGTCCATGGTTGGGGAGTATAAGGGGAGGATATTGGCTTCTCATTCTTTGACCCTGTCTATTTATAGAAACCTATGCATTCTTTCAGTGTTTAAACCTCTTCTAGAGGTATCAGAGTGTGTATTTCAATAACCACCAAAAGGGCTGCTTTTTATTGCCCTTTCCACTGAAGTGCAGTCACCTGCCTAGGTGAGATTTGTAGAAGGAATAGGGTCAAACCTTCATTCTCTACAGAGGCATCTGGGGGACTGTCTTGGCCTAAGGCAGTTGCTACTCACACTGACTCAGTACAGTAAACAGTTATTGCTTGTCTATTGTTCCAGATCTTTCTTGCCTGCTTGAATAGAGAAGACCAAATTATCAAAGAACAGATATCTTAAAGACATTCTTGTGTAGGGCATTTATTTTGGGAAAGCAAATTGCAGAGGCATTCTGTAAGGGAAAACAAAAGTTTTGTAAATACACAAGAGGAGGGAATGAAACATTTTATCATTATCAAGTGCATTCTAGTCAAATAATTACTTCATTTGAGTACATCCTGTAAGATGATGGAAGTAGGCTTAGGTCCATGTCATCATTGCTTCTCATCTTTTCTCACCAAGCAGAACTTGTTCAGTCCAGCACATTGTATCTTAAATATTCATTTGGAATTTGCATCCTATACCTTATTCATGCTTATTTTAATGCAAAGCGGTATGAATTATTATTCTGTAAATTTGGTACTTATAAAGATTGTTGTTTATCAGATGACTGTATCTCCTTCTGGCATGTGTGGTCTCTTATTCCAGTTTTTGCTCCAGGTTAGAATTTCTAAGACTTTCTGCTATTGATCCCTTATGCCTAAATTTTCAGGCAACCATGGGTATATAAATGAATAAAATAGGTATACAAATCAAAATTAACTTCCAATAAATAATAAATCATAATAGTTTTAAATATTTTCTGGGTATATGCATATTTTGCCATGTTAATTAAAGGTTAATATAAATTTGCATGCTAATAAGATGTACCTGCTTATTTTATGTAGAATTCTTGGCTGGATATTTGATACTGAAAAATATAGTACTTTTTCAACATTTTTCAGAGTTGACCAATATTTTTATTTTAAAAATCGACAGTGTTGAGAATGCCACTTGACATAAGTACATTGTGTAAAATGGCAGAAGTAGGTTAAGGTCCATTTCAGATATTGTTGGAAATAATGTCCTAATACCAAGCCAAAGTTTATTTAATAATTTTTCATGAAATTCAGGTTATCCACCCATAGACATTCTTAAAAATCAAATATTCTTAATACATCCATAGATACAGTATTCTTTTTTAATTTTTTTTATTTTTTTGGTTTTTTTGAGACAGGGTTTCTTTGTGGCTTTGGAGCCTGTCCTGGCACTAGCTCTTGTAGACCAGGCTGGTCTTGAACTCACAGAGATCCGCCTGTCTCTGCCTCCCGAGTGCTGGGATTAAAGGCGTGCGCCACCATCGCCCGGCCAGTATTCTTTTTTAAAGATTGTTTTATGTGTATGTGTGTGTTTGCATAAATTTATATATACCATGTGTGTGCAGGTGCCTAAGAAGTCCAGAAGAAGGCATTTGATCCTCTGTAACTGGAATTACAGATAATTATGAGCCACCTGGTAGGTTCTGAAACCTAAACCTGGCTCCTTTGCTCGAGCAGCTTGCACCATTAACTGCTGTTCCATCTCTCCAGCCCCAAAGATGCTGTAACTTGATATTTATGTACTTTTAATGGTAGGAAAATACTAAGTCCTATAGGTTTCTATAAAAGCAGAAAACTTTGTAAGTACAGTTTTGATACTATACTTTATAATACATTAATTTTGAATCTGAACAGAGTTGTCTCCATTTGCATTGGTTGACACTGGGTAGTGTGTTAGCATGTGCAGCACATAATATATTGTATGTTCAGAACCAAGGCTGTAGTGAAGCTGTGTAATACAACATTGGACAAATACTGACAGTAATACCCTGTTTATAACACATTTTATGTATATTTATCAGACACATCTTTTTCATAACATTTTAAAAATCAGACATCTGCCTGTCTTGAAGATAAGTGACCACGAAACAGGCTATAATGAGAGGGTACCTTTAAAGAACTCAATTGTTATCTAGTGTATTATTTGTATACAGTTTTAATTTTAAACGAAGTGTCTTTTCTACCAATTACTGGTCTCTTTCCTCAGTACTGAAACAAATTGTGTTAGTCTTCTGCTTTAGTCTCTTTTTCCCCCTCTCCCTTCCTTCCTTTCTCTCTCCTATTCTTCAGTTCCCTGAATGTGTAATTCATCCTTAATGCATAGGTCTTAAGAAGAACTTGGATCTTGATGTCAACAAAATCTGGCTTGAAATCCTAGCTCCAAATTATTAATGTGCCATTTAGTAAAATGTGTGTTTTTTTTTTTTTAGTTTTCTGTACCTTGGTTTATTTATTCCTAAGAATTTAACAATTCAGTGTTTTTATGAATCTCCTAGATTCTTTATAATGATTGATATCTGAAAGGCTGTGACTTAATTTCAAACTTTAATAAACCTGTTTAGTACAGAAAAATCACACACAGAGAGATCCTTTAAATGGTATTGTTAAAAAATACTGATTCTACAATTGCATGACCTATTTGGGAATGATGTCTATTCTAAGTAAAAACTGTTTTCCCCTTGAGTTTGATTTTGATAGAAGCATGTTTCATGTCATCAATCAGCTAATGTGCTCTGTTAACTTGGTAGAATAAAAAGATTCATATATAATGAATATTTCCTTTCAGAGATGTTTATGTATACTCTCCCCTGCTTTTGCATTTATGCTGTTTTTGTGTTTTAAGTAGAAGTTTTTCGTGACAGTATGTGTTAATAACTGAAAAAATTCCCCATCAGTAGACTAGCACCATCATGACAACCCTGTGTTCTGCTTCTACCTTGCTAATTGTTTCCTTGGGATTATTTGGATTGTGTAGAAAGCCTTTTGCAAATCCTCTTATACTGAAGTCATTGTTGCCAGCAGGAATAAGATTAAAGGTGCTTAAGTCTGTAGAGTTGTTTCTAATTTGTTCATGTCATTTCAGTGGCATTTTAACAGAACTCTGTCTCCTGTCCCACCCTTCTCCCCTGGTACTATCTCAAGTTAGGTCCAAGACGCCAGACCATTGGAAGAAATCTCATTTTATCCTCCTAATTATTATGCTGGCACTCTGGAGATAATTTTTCCCTTCATGCACTGCCAATTAATATGCAAATAAGCTGATAAATATTTATGTATTCATTTAAATTATGCAAGGAGTGCTTTCACTGTGTTCTGTAAATGAATTGTTCCTGGACTTCAAAGTGCTAGCTGCTGTGCTAACGAGGAGAGATTTGCATAAGGCCCTAATCACACGCATACTGATTAAGCTTCATTATGGAAACTGCCAGCTGCAATCTTTGTTTCTATTTTATTACAAAAAGGGGAACTTTTCATGCTTCAGTTGCCTTGACAATGTCAGCCCTAGCTGGTAGAAGAGACTAAAACTCCTCTGAGCAACTGAAGTTTCCTTATTCAGTTGAAGATTGCTATGGTGTAACTGAAGTTGTATTTTGCTTCTCTTGTTAATTCACTTTCCACTCCTCCCACCCTTCTTCTCATAAAGAACATAGTACAGATTTGTTAGAAATAGTAGTACCTTCTTCCCACCCCAAACGATACCTGTTCTTTCTTGCTTTGGACTGTCTGCACCTCCTGAAGATTTCACAGCAATGCTGGACTGCAGTGACTGTGTTCTAGGTGGGTACCAGCACAGTTCTTTTCTTACAGCTTTAATATGGAAATAGCATGTGTGGGATTGACTATGCATAAACGCTCAATCACATATGCAACCATCATCCGGGAGGGGAGAGCTTGAGCAGAGAAGGTGGAAAGTATTTGCAAGGCAAGAGCATGCTTGAGTTTGCTGTAGGTCCCTCCCTTGGACTAGGTCTTCTGCTTCAGTAGGTATTTTCAGCAAATAATGTATTTGAATTTGACTTGCATGGAGGACATTTTTGCTTTTTGGAAATGTTTATAGAAAGTAGTATATGTAGTTGAAAACACATTTTAAATCAGAAACAAAATATATACTATATCCAAATAATATATACGTACTAATAAAATTTTTGTGTATCTAATAAGACTGCCTCATACAAAACCAAAAATACTAAATGAAAAATTAAAGTAGTGTCATAATGCAGAAGGAAATTATAGTGGTTACTGCACTGTTGATCGGTTTCCAGATTTTAGAAGTTATAGGCCATTTTCAAATTTTGCCTTTGATTAATCATTTTGATTTCTTCAAACCAGCTGATTTTTAGGAATCTGCCATTTTAAATATTGTGGAAAGCCTGTTATAGTGTGTTCTCTACAGAACAGGACGTCTTTTGGAAAGGGAGATGTTCTGCTTGAATAAATGTAACATTTTTGTAGATAAGGTGGATTGAAGTACTTTGTACATGATGCCCCTCGGTGGCTGTATTTTGTGAGGAGTTTTTTAATGTTTACATGAAGAATGATTGCACCTATTTAGGAAAGTCATCTGACATAAACTCCAAGAATTGTATCTCTTAAGCTTAAACATTTGCAGATGATTTTATTTACTGTGTCATTTTCCATTCTTGAAATTAAAACAGTTGTTAATGATAAAATAAATTGATATTTTCCAGAAATGTCTGAATTCTTATACAGAAAGAACGACTAAACTCAAGTTAATAGTACTACTTGTCCATCAGAGATAGTAGTGAAAATGCACATGACATACAACACAAGACGTTGATATTAGTTAGGAAGTTAATCCAGTACTAATTTTTAGGCATGAAGTTAGACTCATTATATGATCAGCTAAGTAACATAGGCTTGGGCTTTTTGTGTTTAAAAAAAAAAAAACCTGTAAATATCAATGAGTAATTTACTTGTATGTTCTCTTTTACATTTTCCAAATTTGAAATTCAAGAAGTGAAAGAAAAACTTTTTTTTGAACTATTTTTACCATTTATTTTTAAATGCCAGAAACTGTATCTGCTACTTAGAGTTGACACTTAGTATCACCGAAACAGCCTTCTCATCATTGTATGGCTAATTAGGATTTTATTTATTGTTTTGTGTTTGAAGTAATTTTTTAAATGCTATTGAAGATCTTGACAGTAAATAAAAGGTCCTAAGAAAAGTTGTAACATACCTGTGACATAAATTTCAAATTTATATATAGGTGTGGAAATTAGGCTATGAAATATGTAAGGCCAGGCTCATGATTTTGTTAAGAATTAGGCTTCTTGGTTACTGTGGTATCTGGGCATGAGAAAATTATTACATCTTTTTATACATATTTACAGGTTCATTTTTTTCTGCTTTGTTTTAAAATATAAAGGAAACATTGAACATGTATATAATGGTATATTTGAGGTTCGTGATATTTGTTGACTTTTGTAAGATTTTGGTTAAGTCAAACAGAAAGCTAATTTTTACTAAGTTGTACACCTGGTCCTTTCAAATAAGTGTGCTTTCGGGTGGTATTTAAATTTTTCTGGGCAGTAGGAGAGGAAGTTGTAGAAAGACCTCATTTATGACCACAAACATACAAAATTTAACCCTTTGAACAAGCCAAGCCAGGGATACCATAGAACTGCCTCAACCATAAGCCATGTATTGGCTATAAAAATTTACTGTATTAGAAAAGTTATTACCCAGTGTCTAAAAAACTTACCACCCATTTTCTAGGTTATGAAACATGAAAGAAAGGTTTCTGATATTTTTCCTCATTTATTATACATGTAGGTAATGCAGCTGTTGACAGCATGGTTGGAATTTAGAATGACTGTTTTAACTTCCTAATTAAACATGTCCTACGGATGTTTTTAAAAAGTCAGTATAATACAGTTTGATCTGTTCTCTAATAATAACTTGGTTACTGGGTCTTAATGAGGGAGAAAAGGTGTAGAACTTACTTGATAATAAGCTTATTTCATGACAAATACTCGAAATCTGTGGTAAATATAGAACAAAATGACTATTTTGTCTGTTCTGTTTATCCTTTGGGAAAAGAAGCAGGGCATAGGTGTTCTTGTCTCCTTTCCTGTATATTTTCCGGGATTGCTAATAGTGGTTGACAACGTTTCAGTATGGAAACTAGAATTTAATACACTCAAAAGTAACAGCCCTAAACCAGCAGATTAGTGTGTAACTGAATGTGATTCTTTTAGAACTGTAGAGATTCCTGTTACAATTTGTTAGCTTGTTTTTAATGAGACATGTGTTTGGTATACCCCTGTGTTGACTCTAGTTTGGTAAAGGAAGTCAGATGGATGTTTCAAACAGATTTTTTCATCTGTTAGATTATTATTACTAAGTGTGAATGTTTTAGTTATAATGAATTAATACCTTTGCTTTTAGAAGAAAATAATCTGGGAATAATAGTACTTATTTTTTGAGATGTTTCCTGCTTCCCAGTTTATTTTAACATACATTATTGTCTGATAAAAATATTTTAGCATGTCAGTAATATCTTTTTCAACTTAGATTCCTTTCTTTAAAGAATCTTAAAATTTGTTAGATAATTTATTTATAAGTTTCTTTATGATTCAGGAGCTTCTGAATATCTCTGAGGTAGCCTTTTACTCACTTTGTAGTGTTGTACCCTGCCATATTCTATGCATGGGCTTCTTGAAATGAAGCTGTCATATTAGTTAACCCTTGCATTGGCTGTAACTTTGGCTCCTTAGCTTCATCTTCACCGCTAGTTTTTTAAACAACGTTTCTGCCTTTGGTTTATTGTAGATTCAAGAATGAACAATCCGTCAGAAACCAATAAATCATCTATGGAGAGTGGAGATGGCAGCACTGGTAAGAAAACATTCCCTCTTATCTATCTTTTACATTAACTCTTATAGAGCTAAAACAAGAGATTGTACACTTATCTGGACACATATTTGACAGATTTGTGTACTTGCTTATGAAGTGTGACTTAGTACTTTTAGGGACTGAAATTATTTTTAACATTATCTAACTCCTCTGAGGAGGGCTTCACTGATCTGATTCCATCCATCAGAAACTGCTTAATTATGGGAATGGTCCTTTGGGACAGATAGACCTAGGTCTGGATTATGGATTTGCCACTAACTGTGTAACTTCAGGCAACTTCCTCAATGTTTTTGAGACTTAATTTATTCGGTAGGGATATTCATGGGTCATCATGAGTATTGAGTTAGAATATATGTGACGTGTTAAAGCATCATATTCTGTTATGTTTCTTGGTTAGGTATAATCAGAATAGGAGATGCTATCCATCCTGCCTTTGGTATATATTATGCAAAAGTTATAATGGTGTCAGTTACAGACACTCCTAATTCGTCCTTTTATTTCAATAAAATTTATTCTTGATCAAACCTTTTATCAAGAGAAAACTGAGTATCATATAAATGAAAAAACTGAAAGCTCTTTGAGAGAAAGGTAAATCTACTTTTAAAAATAGGTACAATTTGTCTCCTCAGCCCATCCTTGTAAGTCTGTCGGTTCATAGGACATTTGACAGTATAACTCTGTCATTGACAGATATCTACAAGGATTTCCCCAATTTCTAGTAGAGGCAAAATGTAAAAGTATTAAAACATTAAGGGGATTGTGTGGAAGGAATTGTATAAAGTCACTGTAAAGTAAACTAGGTTTTTCACTTAAGAGAAAGGATTTCCTCTGACTGTTATTTCAAAATATACCTAACTGTGGGAGGTGGTGAGAGTGACTGTCACTCTTGAAATTCCACTGCTCCTGATCATAGGTAGAACCTTTTGGTTTTTTGAGGCAGGGTTTCTCTGTGTAGCTTTGGAACCTGTCGTGGAACTTGCTCTGTAGACCAGGCTGACCTCAAACTCCCAGAGGTCCACCTGTTTCTGCCCCCTGACTGCTGGGATTTTTTGTTTGTTTGTTTGTTTTTTGTTTGTTTGTTTTTGTTTTTGTTTTTCGAGACAGGGTTTCTCTGTGGCTTTGGAGCCTGTCCTGGAACTAGCTCTGTAGACCAGGCTGGTCTCGAACTCAGAGAGATCCGCCTGCCTCTGCCTCCCGAGTGCTGGGATTAAAGGCATGCCCCACATCGCCCGGTGTGACTGCTGGGATTAAAGGTGTGTGCCACCACTGCCCGGCTTAGAACCTTTTTATTTACAGTAGAAGACTGGGTTGACCCCAAATATACTTTTGTGTCTGCACCTGTATGATTGCAAACTGTCCTGTACTTGGAGTGACTTGTTAACCTCTTCACCTCTGAAAAATAAGTACTTATTTATGGGAGACTCAGCTGGGGCTTTCATGTTCATCTTTGTCATATTTAATATGCTCCAGCTTCTCTTACTGAGGCTAGCCAAATAGACTACCCGAGAGGCGGAAGAACTGCATTGCTTTCTGCCCAAGTTACCAACTAACCTCCTTAATTCTGTTCCTTGCTGGGCCCCTCCTTCCTTTACCTTGTAGCACTGACTTATGCTGACGTAAGTACCATTGCCAAAGGAGTGGAACTTGTTTGCGGAGAGTAAGTAGGTAGTTAAACCTATGAAAAAGCAAGAGAAATATGGGTAAAAGTCCCACACCTAAAGAATAGCTTCCAAATTTCTCTAAGGGAAGAGAAATGAACTCAGAATGATTACAGAATGCTGAAAATATCCACAATGTCAGACCCCCTGGGAAATTCTATGTTTACTTTTAATACCATAGTTTCTGTAATATAATTTATTGAGTGCTTATAATATTTAATTACAACCTTTGTTGTGCTTCTTAAAATCTTTAGTGCTGTGCATATTACCTGCTAACAATTAAATTCTTAATGACCAGTTAGATATTATTTCAAGGAATAGGGAATAGAAGTATAAAACCAGAAAGGAAATAAAGTCAGGCTTAGAAATTGGACCCTATAAAAGGTTTTTCTCATCATCTATAAATGTAAAAGTGAAAATTTAAGTAATGGCATTGTGTGTGTTCAAACTTCTAAAACTATATAAGATAAATTCTGGCTGGAACACTTGTTGAACAATTTGTGACTTTCTTGCCTTGTGACAATATGAAATATATAGCAGCAGACTTTTTTTCATAGAGCTGAGAGTAATCACATAGTTAATTTTTCCTGTCGTGGTGGTTTTTTTTGTTTGTTTGTTTGTTTTTGTTTTTTTGTTTTGTTTTTTTTTGTCTTTGTAGCCCTGGCTGGCCTCTGCCTCAAGAGTGCTGGGATCAAAGGAGTGTATCACAGTCCAAGAAAGATACTTTTTAAGGCCAGTAATATACTTTCCTAGACCTCCTTGCTTTTCCATAACTTGTAGTGGTGGTTAATATTCTCTTTTCTTTAAAAAGAAAGAAAATTGCTTTTCTGTAAGAAACATCTAGCTAGATCAAAATTTTCAGTAACATCTAGCTAGATCAAATATGAGCTTGTTCCCAGCCTGGGAAGCTTAGCAGCTCACTTGCTGTTTATCTACCGTGTGTGCACTACCTTCATGGACACAAATCGCTTCCATTGTTTAGACCTTTTTGTTCACTTCAGAATAACATTCTTTATCAGTTTCTCAACATTAAGTAAAGTCTGCTGCTATGTCCTTAGCACTCCCTCTTTATGTTTATTTATTGCTTTAGAAATATAAACATATATTTGAGTTCTGCTTTATTTATTAGATTATCATGTTTGGTGCATTAGAAATAAAATTAGTTTTTTTTAAAGTAGATTATGATGGGCCATGCCTATAAACCCAGCAGTTGGAAAACTGAGGCAAAAGCATTGCCTGAGTTTGAGGCCAGTCTAGGTTACTTAACAAGACCTTGCCTTGAAAAAAGAAAAAGGGAATGGTGGGTGTAGAGCATTTGTGCCAAACTGATAAGGAAAGAAAATAATAGCTTATTTAGATTATTTTAAGCCTATATATTAATTTTCATTTTTAAATACAGTGAACCTACAGATTTTCATTTGTTTAGTAATTATGATTTTTTTGTGGTTTGTGTGAAAGTTCGAATTTTAAAGACAATAACCTTAAATATTATATAAAATTGAAGTCTAACACTTTATAGATTCAGAAAACTTGTGTTGATCACTATTTCCTGAAATGTCCACAGTTATAATAATTTTGAATTACAAGGGCTTAAGGGTAATGAGAGGTGTAAAGTTCAGATACGTCTGACAGTGCATTTTATACAAATAAGTTTTATATGTTCACAAAAAGTCTGTGGTTGGATTTGTTCAGGTTTGCATGTTTTATATGTTAAATATTATAGTTGGTATTATTAGAGACTCATATTATTATGAGACTCAGTCTTCAGAGGCTTAGCAATCCACCAAGTGTCAAAGCAGACAGAAAGCTGATTCTGGACAGATTATGGTGAGTTATCCAAGAGCAGGTATAGAGAAACAACATGATGTTGTTAAATGGTATTTCTTTCTTGCCTGTTTTTTGTTTGTTTTTGTTTTTTAATTATTTTTTTAAGCCAAGTACTATAGTGTATGCCTTTAGTCCCAGCCCTTAGGAGGCAGAGGCAGACAGATTTACATAGTGAGTTCCAGAACAGCCAGGGCTACATAGAGAGACTCTGTCTCAAAAATAAATGAATGAGTAGATAAACAACAATTTTTAATATTGTAAAATTGTAAAACATAAGTTGCAAAGAAATAGACACCACACACTGAAGTTAACCTGACTCAAAAGATTATACAACTCAATGAACTTCTATACAAAATATTATCCATTCATAATAGAAGCTGTGAAATTCAACATGGATTTTATACTTCAGTATCAAATATATTTTTTGTGCATTATCCACTACCAAACACAAAAGAAATTCATGTCAGTTGGAACTACAAAAGCAATTAGCTTTGTATCCCTTTTCATAATTTGTATCCATTACCGTCATTCAGTCCTCCTGTACCTTGATTCTTTTCCTTTCTATGTTGTACTGTACCTATATGTACTTTCATTTGCATATAACTGGCTAGAGTCCACATATAAGGGAGATGATGGTCTTTTTCTTTCTGAGATTGTGTGACCTTCATTAATATTAGACAAAGTCCTATGAATTTTCCTGCTATAATTTTGATTATATTTTTCTTCAGATTTCTTTTTGAGATTGTGTGAACTCCATAATACATTCAAAGTTCACCCATTTTCCTGAAAATTTTTGATTACCTTTTTCTTTAGAACAGAATATTATTTCATTTTCTATAACAGGTTTTTATTAGCCATTCATCTGTTGATAGACAACTAGGCTAATTTCAATTCCTTGCTCTAGTGAATAAATCAGCAACAAACATGTGTGGAGTTCTGGGTATGTGCCCAGGAGTGAAATAGCAGGATAGTTTTTTCTTTTATTTGAGAAATTTCAAAGCCGATTTCCACAATGGCTGTACTAATTTGCATCTCCTCTACCAATAACCCTTTCTCACCACATCCTCTCCAACATTTGTCAAACTTATTAATGATAGCCTCACTGTTATGAGGTGGTATCTCAAAGTAGTTTCAATTTTCATTTCCTGATGGCTTGAGATATTAAACAGTTAAAAATAGTTATTGACCATTTGTGTGTCTTTCTTTAAGAAGGGTCTATTGAGTTCATTTGCTCATTTGTTGATTGGCTTTTGTAGTTCCTTGGTATTTCACTTCTGTGCTTTGTAAATTCTGGAGATTAGCCTTTTGTCTGGAGTGTAATTGGTAATGATTTTCAGCCAATCTATAGTCTGTGTTTGCTCTGTTGGTTAAGTATTTCTTTGACAATTTTTAAATATACTTATAGGCCAGGTAAAAAAGAACCACCATTGAGAAAGTATACAAATTAAAACAAGTGGTTTGGAGACCAGAGTTCGGATCCCAAGAAACCCACATAAT